TTTTTTTGTCTTTTTGAGACAGGGTCTCCCTGTAGCCCCAGCTGTCATGGAACTCACTATGTAGACCAGGCTGGCCTTGAACCCACAGAGATCTGCCTGGCTCTGCCTCCCAAGTGGGATTAAAGGCGTGCGCCTCCACGCCCAGCTCTCTTGTCTTTTTTTAATAGCCACCCTAATAGATGTAAAGTGATAGCTCACAGTGCTTTTAATTTGGATTTCCCTGAAGACTAGCAATGACAAAATCCTTTTATTATATCTGTCAACTGTTTTTTGTTTGTTTGTTTTGTTTTCTTTGGAGAATGACCTCTTCAGGTTATCCACCCCCCCAACCCCTCTTTTTCTTTTGAGACAGTGTCTCACTATGTAGTCCTAGCTAGTGGGGAACTAGCTATGTAGACCAGGCTGGCCTTGATCTCACAGGGATTTGCCTGCCTCTGTCTCCTGAGTGCTGGAATTAAAGGCATGTACCACCAAGCTTGGCTATGTGTCTATTTTTTAATTGGGAAATTTGTTTTTATGCTATTAAGTTATATAAATCTTTACAAATTTGGAGCATTATCTTTAAGATATGTTGCTTGACTGGGTGTGGTGGCACATGCCTTTGATCCCAGCACTCAGAAGACAGAGGCAGGAGGGTCTCTGTGAGTTCGAGGCTAGACTGGTCTACATAGTGAGCAAGTTCCAGATCATCTGGGGCTACAGGGAGACCTTGTTTCAAAATTCTTCGGGAACACAGACACACACACACACACACACACACACACACACACACACACACAAAGATATATTACTTGCATATTTTTCTCCAGACTACAGGCTTACTTTTCATTTCACTGATTGTTTCTACTGCTGTGTGAAGCTTTTCATGCAATGTAGTCTCATTTGTTTGCTTTTGTTTCTGTAGCCTAAGCTTTTGGTATGACAAGAATTATTGCCAGATCCTATGTTAAGAACTTTTGACTCTAGGGGCTGGAGAGATGGCTCAGTGGTTAAGAGCACTGGCTGCTCTTGCAGAGACTAGATTCCCAGCACCCACATGGCACCTAACAACTGTAACTCCAGTTCCAGGGGATCTGACACCCTCTTCTGGCCTCCACAGGCATTGCATGACATGGATGCACATACAGACATTCAGGCAAAACACTCATACACGTAAAATATAAATATGTAAAATAGAAAAAACTTTTTATTCTATATTGTCTCTGATGTATTTTATGGACTCGGGTCTTACAGTTAGGTATTTTATCCATTTTGACTTGATTTCTGTGCATGATATGAAAATTCTATTTATTGAAAAAATTTTTCTTTCCTCATCATGTCCTTATAATGCCCATGTAAAAAACTAATAGACTGTATTTTTTTTGGAGGGGGGCTCTTTTTGGTCCGGAACTCACTATGTTGACCAGGTTGGCTTCAGTCTCACAGAGATCTGCCTGCACCTGCCTCCTAACTGCTGGGATTAAAGGTGTGCCACAAGCCCAGATGACTGTATATGTTCTGATTCTATTCTGTTTAATATGTTTGTTTCTATTTTAAATAGCAATATTATACTATTTTGCATGCTATAACGTTATAATTTTAAATGAAGAACGTGTGATTCCTCTGATTTTCTCTTCCTCAGCACTGCTTTGGTTATTTTGACCGGTATGTGTGTGTGTGTGTGTGTGTGTGTGTGTGTGTGTGTGTGTGTGTGTGAGAGAGAGAGAGAGAGAGAGAGAGAGAGAGAGAGAGAGAGAAATAGAGAGAGGGATTCCATGTAGGTTTTAGGATTGTTTGCATACTTCTATAAAGAATGGCACTGGAATTTTGATAAGGATTGCATTGACTCTGTGTATTACTATATTGCTTTGAGTAATATGGACATTTTTACAATATTAATTATTTCAATCCATAACCACTGGATAGTTTTCCATTTATTTATATCTCCTCCAATTTCTTTCACTAGTGTATTTTGGTATACAAATCTTTTACTTCCTTGGTTAAGTTTATTCCTAAATATTTCTATATTATCATAAATGGGATTGCTTCTTGATTTCTTTTTCAGATTCATTATCATTTTTTGAAGAGAAATAATACTGGTTTTCATATGTTGGTTTTAGATACTGCAATGTTACCAAATCCACTTATTAGTTATAACTTTTTTTTTTGTTGTTAAGTCTTAAGGATTTTCTATGTATAGGATCACGTCACACTTAATAGAATTAAGGATGAGTTTCTTTCTGGACATTTGAAAGCTCAGTTTTGCTAGAGCTTATGGCCAGGACTCAAGATCATCAGTACAGTGACAGTCACTTCCATCTGGTCTACTCTCAGTAAAATAGTCTAACCTAGTAATCTATTCAATGTAGAACTGTTTGAGGATATGCTACTGGCTTTGGAAAGTGCTTGGCAGGTCATAAAACCATACTTGCTAATTAAGGAGACAGTAAGTTTGTCTTATTCATAAGGCAGGGCAATTTCATCCATTTCTAAATACACAGCTGATGCC